GTTTCGGTATGTCACGTCACCTCACGCCACGCCTTGTTATGTCAACATAAATTATTGAGTATAGTAACATCCAATGCAATTGTTGCCATTTGGAGAAGGTTCAATACCCAAAAAAGTGTTGGCAGAATATTTGCACCATATACAGTTCTGGTTGCACAAACTGACTAAATTCCACCAAAAAACAAAATACCCAAAACCCCTAATGAGTACTGGCGTGTTTCGGTATGTCACGCCACGTCACGCCACGCCTTGTTATGTCAACATTCAAGTTACACCATGCATTATTGAGTATTATAGTAACATACAATACCTATTAAAGTGGAAAAAAAACTGTCATTTTGAACTCTTAATAAAACCGGAAGTTATAGTTGATTGCCGAACGTTTTGATATTAATTGTTAGTAGACATGATGATCATCATATATGAAAAGGTCAAGGGTCATTAAAAGGTTAGGTCACCAGATAGAAGTTGAAGAGTAGAAGGAAATTTAAAGTGAAACCGGAAGTAAACGAAATCAAAAGTACAAAATCGGCTCCCTAAGGATTGTTGCCATTTGGAGTAGGATCAAATCAAATTTTTTTAAAAATTTGAATTAAAAGGGCGACTGAATATCGATTTGAAGGTTTTTTTTGTAAATTCCAATATGGCAGCCTAAAGGTTGAAAATGTTATGGACCAAGGTCTTTGAAAATGAAAGATATTATCTGAGTGTAACACCACTATATGTCTTTTTTTTTGTCAATTTTTAAAATGGAGAGAACTATTCATGTTCGGAAAAAATCGGAAGGCCTCGGTAATTTCCGAAAGTTTCCGTAAGGAGTCACAAAATTTTTGAATATGCCATTTTGAAGGCATCGATGTGTTCCTTATTCCTACCAAGTTTCAACTTGATACATGAAATAGTGACAGAGATACGCCATCTTGAATGTCGAAAAAATGATGAAGAACACTTTCGCAAATTTTTGATGCCAATATTAATCGAAAAACCGTTAGTCAGAGCCCATATGGGATTCGTCCAATGAATCCAAAAATGAAAATCGAAGAAGATCCGTTGAGAAATAACCGAGATATGTGCAATCTAAGATTATTTTTTGTCGCATCCATAAAACACTTCCCGTTTGTCAAAAATGATCCAATTTATATTTAATATTTAGATCCACGTTGGCCAACTTTGCCTACGTTGGTAGAATGTTTTCACCATGCACAGTTTTGGCTGCAATATTATCAATATTAAAATTTACATAACGAATTACTCTAGGAATACTTCTTCTTCCCTTTTTAATATTATTACTATCATCATCCGAGTTATGTTCCATCAACATTTTCTACTAGTGTTTCAACTTCAATAGTTTTTTTATCTTTTCGTATAACTCTTTTTTCTGTCATAAAAGGCCAAGTATTCAGCTAATGATATCTGTTCAAGCTTTTTTAGGCGTTTCTGATACCTACCAATCATATTACTAGATTGTATGTCTTCATCATCATCATTCATATTTTCTAACTGTTCTTGCGTCTTTAGAAGTTGCACCCTTTCATGGGGGGGAGAAGTATACTCAGCCAAATTAAAAACTTGACACTCGGGATTTTTGGGACTAGATTTTTAATATTTGGTTTAAGGCAACTATTTTAGTGTTATGTTGTGCACAGACGACCTTGACATCAAAAGAAGCCAAGAATACGTCTCGCCGAAAGTCCTTGACATTGATAGCGTTCGTGATGTCACAGTACCCCCCAAAATGAAATTCACAGACTTGGAGAACAATCGGAATAAAGTGTTTAGTAACGGTTGTGGCCTCCTCTAGCGTCTCGTACTGCCACACAACGTCTTCTCATGGATCTCAGAACATTAGTAAACACTACCCGAGGAAGACGTCGCCACTGCTCAGCAAGAGCATGTTGAAGGTCCTGCAACGTCAGTGGTGGATTCACTTGCTGACGAACACGTCGACCCAGTTCGTCCCAGATGTGTCCAATAGGATTAAGGTCGGGGCTAAGCGACGGCCAATCCAGGACTTGGACACCGGCATTTCTTAAAAAATTCTGGGTAGCAATTGCTGTATGGGGTCGAGCATTGTCTTGTTGAAACGTTAGTCCAGGCCCATGTCTCTGCATAAACGGAAGAAGAACAGGTTGCAAAATCTAATCCCTGTACTGGACAGCATTTAAGTTCCCTTGGACAACAACAAGAGGAGAACGTCCATGTGCACAAAAAGAACCCCAAACCATGACGCTGCAACCACCAAATCGGTCAACTTCTCTGACGCATACCTGAGCGTAACGTTCGCCTCGTCTGCGGTACACTCGGGCCGTGCCATCGGCAAATCTCAAAGTGAATCGAGATTCGTCACTAAAGACAACCGAATTCCACTGTCTTTGAGTAAATCTTATGTGTCTTGTGGCCCATACAAGTCGGTTACGGCGATGAAGAGGTGTCAATATTGGTCCATTATAGGGCCTCCAAGCTCGAAGACCAGCAGCCTGCAAGCGATTTCAAACAGTTTCTGCAGTTACCCTTCCACCAAACATCTCTCTACTTGTGGAGGTTGCAGTGACAAATCTGTTTCTAAGATGACGTAATCGTATTGCTTGATCGTATTGAGTGACGTCACACGTGACGCTCCCGCCCTTGGGTGGTCGGCAATAGTTCCAGTTTGAAGCACTCTCATTCTAAGATTAATTATTGTCTGGCGTGAACAATTAAAGGCTCTTGCAACAGTGACCACAGACTGACCAGCATAGAGCCTACCTATAGCACGTAGACGTTCTACATTTGAAAGGCGCGGCATTTTCTAACAAAGATGAAAATAACAATTTTAATTTGTTTTTCCAGTTCAAGTTACTTGTGCGTGATCAGTTTAAGCAAACTTGCATCGATTGATCTCACCTGTTTGTGTTTGCACGTGTTTTTCAGGTTTTTCATCTTTATATGCTCAAAAGTCACGTGATCCACGTGACTTTACAATTTTATGAAATTAAAGGCTTCTTACTACTTACTATCGTTAGAAACACTTGAAAATTTATTTGACTTACCAGAAAAAAAATTGTTGAAATTCATCAGTGTCAAGTTTTTAATTTGGCTGAGTATATTAGCTGAAGACATGACCCTAGAAAATGTTCGATTATTGGACAAAGTACAAAAACATTCTCTTGCCAAATCATCCTGGTATTCTAACGGGAAAGTGCGAGCACAGGGCCACAACGATAAAACTTGTAGAATCGAACTATTTCCTGATCTTGAAGACCAACTTATACATAGGTTGGGTGAACAGTAGCATGAGCTAAGTAAACCACAGTTAGATTTCCGATTTACTGACGGGAATGTGAGTTGTCACTCATGAACGGTATAATCCACAAGTGAAATGTGCTCGGTGTTGTTGCCCTTACGTATTCATCAAATCAATTAAAATTGCCGACTGTAAATAAAAAGATTAAAGCTGAACTCCGATTACAAAACTACAGAAATAATTAAATAAAAAAAATTAACGCCCAAAATAATCGCCATACTTGTTTTCAAGTTGTAGAAAATCATGACGATTGTACGGCATACAAAAAGAGAGGCAGGCCACGCCCACACCCAATTCACTACTTGTCATCCACGCTGTCCACATCCGGCTAGCACAGATATATGCGCGTGTGTATGTGTGAATATACATGACATAGTATGGGTAATACTTTGGAATCTGATGTGTTATACCTTGCCTTAAAATATACAGCCTCACGCATCCCCTTTGTTTTATTTTTAAACTGTTGTCACATGGTAAAGCCCATGTTAACCATGACATTTATATTGCCGTCAAATCTACCAGGTATAACGTCGGGGTGGGGGGGGGGCTTAAATATTTGTAGGAAGGAGCTCGATGACTCTGAAACAAAATTAACTTAGTTATCTGGGAAACCTAGTGTAAACGGTTTCTTGTCCTTGCTACTAGGTAGTTTATGTAACACCAAAGGCACTACCCTTGTTCGACCTTAAAAACAACATGCTGCTAAACTCGAGGACCCTCCTTTAAAATGTATCCTACATTATGTTTTGTAAATATTCCCAGTTAACATTGATGATTAGATTTACGTAAAGTTTACGTCATTATGGTTAGATTTGATTAGCGTCCAAAAATGGTAAAATTCTACGGTTAAATCATAGAACTGGAATACTAACGGGAACGCCCACCGTGTGACGTCACTACCTTATGTGACGACCGGCTTCTGACGCTGATATCGGACACAACGTACTTCCGGTTTCTGCTCGCACAAACAAAATGCCTGTTGTGCTTTGTTCGGATGTTCCGCCTGCAATAGAAGAAATTGGGGTTTATCTTTCTATCGCTTACCCAAAAACAACACAGAGTAGAGAGAGAATCTATTACGTATCATACAGTTCTACTAGATCAGACCCGATAAATGAAAAGACTTTGACGATATGTTCAAAGCACTTTGAGTAGTTTGAGCCGGATTGTTTCGTTGAAAGAAAGTAAGTGAACACTCAAAAGGAATTAAATTATGTAGATTCTAGTAGGCAGTTCACCCTGACAACCTACACTGAAATTAAATTTAACCCATACTAGCTGAGTGTCTGTATTCTCATATTTGCCCGTTAGATTTTACCTTTTCTCTCATCAAGTTGCATGCTATAGGTTTGTTTTAATTAATGCCGTAGCCAGTCTACTTGCGATTTGTTATGAAATTGACGAATACTACACCCGATGAATGTGACAGCATGACGTTTCTCTCTTAACAATATACCGAATAAGGTTGTATGGTCAAAGTTTTAACTGAGCAGCTCCATAAAAATTAAAATTGTTATGACTGACGTTGACCAGTCAAATCCTTTTACTTTTAAAATAGGAAATAATCTGGTTCCCAATATGAATAATCAACAAGCATGGAAAAAATATAATTATATCTGAACCTTTTGTTTTGTTTGTGTGAACGTTTCTATTATGATTTTATGAATATTTCAGATGTTTACAAAAATTCTGGGTCCACAGAAAAGCGTTACAACAAAGAAATTGGATCCAAGGAAACCACCGGTAACTTAATTTTCTGGTAATAACACTAGATTGATTTTTATTGAATTGGGTGGACCACAGCAAGCGTATTATATGTCTTTCTTTCTGAAATAAAACTTATTTTAGTGACTTTTCGGTGTTTTTGGCATTGTTGGTCCCACAACTCTAATCTTCAATATTAATTATGAATATGAACATTATTAAATATCAGTATATGAAAATTCAATTCATCCATATTAAACATACATTATGCAAGAGCTAAATCTGCCAATTGCAGGTCTTTCTTTATTCAGATAATAAAATATGCTCGATGGCATCGCTAGCCTGTGATATTTACTGGATTATAATCCGATCTGCTGCTTCTGATTAAATCAAAAAATGGATAATCGAGACTATGTGTTTTTATCGTACCGATGATGATCGAGGCTAGGCCCAAAATTCAATCGCTAAATACTCAGTTCAGGGTGGATTAGTAAAAATTGAAATATGTGTTTTTATCGAAAGGAATATATATCGAAAGGAACCCAGTGGTTGATTTGTAAGGCAAGCAATTTTATTCACGATTTTGAATTAAATAGCGAAAGGGGTGCCTCACGGAGAAAAAATTGTCAGCAGAAAAGTGTCTTACCTTTCTCTTTTATTAGATACATCAGAAGGTATATTCTATTTTTTCGATACGAATATGTTTGATAGTAAATATTATATGATTTAGCACCAAATAGGAAGAAAAATAAAGAAGAAAAATAACTGAGCGCCATTGAAAACGCATCACTTTTTTCCCCAAATATTTTATTACTAGGTGGTTTTGTATGTATAATATTATGCAATACTATGAACTACTGTTTCACACAATGCTCCCAAACGCAAAAAATCTCGGCCCGTGTGCACAAAAAAATTGCACGAGATGCACATGAAAAACCCATTCGAATTTGTTTGGTTTTTATAAATTTCTGCCCCATGCTAACGTTTTGTATGCAAAGCTTTTAATATCATAGATTTGACTTTTCAAGTCATAAAAATTCATTGAAAATCAATATACTTGTTCGTCTCAAGATCTTAAACTCTGTGTATCAATCTGAAGTCAATCGGATGATAACTTAAGGGCCATAACTTTGGCAGTAATTATCGGAAATCGTTGAAAATCAATAGGAATCTTCGTCTCATGACCTCAAACACTGTGTATAAATTTAAACTCAATCGGATATTAACTTGAGCCTCAAGAGCATCCACAAGATTTTTCAAAGTGATCAAGGGCCATAACTCTGGCAGTAATTATCGGAAATCGCTGAAAATCAATAGGCTTCTTCGTCTCATGAGGGAAATTTTGCCCGGACAGCAGCGCAACTACCTACTCTTATTTCGAATGCCAACTGTCAGGGTCTCTTTAACGTGCATGCCAATGTGTGCACGAGATCTCGGTTTTTTTTATCCCATCTGACCGACTAGATGCTGTTCCTGGCCAGGCCCTCCGTCCATAACTGACAAAGGGAACCCACATCAGAAAAATCCAGAGGGACTAAACTAGTTTACAAGCTTTACAAACTACCTGTGAGTTGTCCATGCAGTAGTCTATACTTCATTCGATTACCTCAATTTCATAAAAGTAAGTTATTTTGTTTTTGTTTCATAGGATCACAATTATTCAGCATCTCCAATGAAGTGGAAACATAAACTGTATGACACAGAAGAAAAGTTAGATGACATGACGAAAAAATTTAAAACATCTTGTAAGAAACAAACAGATAAGCTGTATGCAGAAAACCATATCAACATTGAACTCAAAACAAAATTAGACTCCTTTGGGGGTAAGAGATATACGTCTTCCTTTTATTGTGATAATGAATAAAATTTCCTTCAGCATAACCCTTTCTATCAAGTTTCATTGTTTTCTATATATAAGCTTACACATGTATATACATATTATTCCCCACGAGCTTTATGCAGGTATCCTACATGTAACTATAATGTCTTTTAATTTATTTATAGACATGCCATAAACCTGATGAATCAAGGAAATAATAATAAAAAGACACTGGCTTATCTTGGAAAATATTTATAATATTCAATGAAAATTAGAAATCAACTGTTAGAATCGTAATACTTTTATCTATCAATCGACCATAATTAAATATCCTTATTCTATGCTTGAGTGCGCGGCGACGGGGTGGGTATAATTCGTTTTTACTTGGTGGTGATGCAATAGTTCTCGCGTGTGTAATATAGTTACATGTATAAGGGTCTAGTTTGATTTTCTTTTTCTTTTTTTTATTATCATTATTTTATATTTTTTTTTTGAATTAGTGGGATTGGGGTGCGGTGGGAGTATCAAATAGTAATTGTTCCGATTTATTAAATTATCTATTTTATTTAAATTATTATTTGGTGGGAAGGGGGGATGGGGTGGGGGCGGTATCAAATTAGTATATATTCTTTGCTCTCTCCTTCTGATATGTATATGTATATAGGTGTACATAAATTTTCGAAGTATTTAGGGTAGTGATGTGAATTTGCACTAAGGGAGATGGGGGTATTTACACTCTATTATTATTCATACTTTTATTAATTATCAATGTATATTATTTATATTTGTATACATGTTTTGGCTACAGCAAACTTTTTGCTTCGCCTGTAATAAAGTTCAATCTCTCATGGGAGTTGTTTAAGAAAGATAAAAGATACCAAAGAATACAACACTTCTCAGCGAGATTTTGCGATATCCCTTCACCTTATGTCACCAAAAGCCTATGATTATCTGAGAACTGCTGGATTTCCTCTTCCCAATCCAAGGACTTTAAGAAAGTATGTCAAATTTCAGTTTTATCATTAAAATGGAAAATATTCATATAATAAATCATTGGGTAAAATCACTGATCAAGAAGTTCTTCATAATGCCCAGTGCTAATTGGTGCTATTATCATTCATCGATGCGATTATCAGCCTACTTCATGCTATACATTGATGCGTCGAGCAGAAAGATTTTCTTTACCATAACAAAGAATTCATATCAGATTTTAGGCAAGGAATTTTCGTTCCAATAGCGACTTTCGGTGACAGGCAAATTGATAGTTGCTCCCTAATCGCAGTATACAAACAAGATATGTAAGGAACTGTAAACAAATAAATCATTATTTCAGGTGGATGGAAAGTATCGGCTGCAGTCCAGGATTAAATGACGCAATGATCACAGTTCTTGCCGAAAAGCGCAAGATGTACCAAGTAACTATCTTTCATAAAATCTATAACAAGATATCAAGGTTAGTTAATATTGCGGTTACTTTTTTTTAAATAAAGTATAAATATTTTATTGACTACAGGTCATTTCATTTGATGAAGTCTAATAAAGATGGGTTGCCAGACAACGAAGCATACGCCCACAGCAGCTAAATCGTCCGGGCAGTCAACAAGTGTTGCCGCATATTTTTACTTTTTTCGGTAATGAAACATTTATAATACACTAAATTCTGATTAAGAGTAACAATTCACGAAGTTATCAGAAAACCATTAGAATTTGTTCGGTTCTGCCCTATGCTAACGCTTAGTATACAAAACTTTTAAAATTATGGATTTAGCTGTTCAAGTCATAAAAATTTACTTGTTCGTATCAAGATCTTAAACTCTCTGTATCAATCTGAAGTCAATCGGATATTAACTTTAGCCTCTAGAGCGTTCACAAGATTTTTTGAAGTGATCAAGTGCCATAACTCTGGCAGTAATTACCGAAAATCGCTGAAAATGAATAAACTTCTTCGTCTCATGACCTTACACACTGTGTATAAATTTAAAGCCAATCGGATATTAACTTTAGCCTCTAGAGCGTCCACAAGATTTTTCAAAGTGATCAAGGGCCATAACTCTGGCAGTAATTATCGTAAATTGCTGAAAATCAATAGGATTCTTCGTCTCATGACTTTAAGCACTATGTATAGACTTAAAGTCAATCGGATATTAACTTTGGGCTCTAGAGCGACCACAAGATTTGTTGAAGTGATTAAGGGCCATAACTCTGGCAGTAATTATCGAAAATCGCTGAAAATGAACAGATTTCTTCGTCCCATGACCTTAAACACTGTGTATAAATTTAAAGTCAATCGGATATTAACTTTAGCCTCTAGAGCGTCCACAAGATTTTTCACAGTGATCAAGGGCCATAACTCTGGCAGTAATTATCGGAAATCGCTGAAAATCAATAGGCTTCTTCGTCTCATGACCTTAAACACTGTATATAAATTTAAAGTCAATTGGATATTAACTTTAGCCTCTAGAGCGTCCATAATGTGGGTGTATAAAAAGGGACGTGAAAAGGTGCATACATAGATCAAAAGCAAGTGCCAATAAAATATGCTCAATAACAAAATATTTTTCTTTTCAGTTGCTGTCTCATGTTAGATGCTATGTCCATCAGAAAACAAGGGGATTACAACCAACACAATGGCCATTTCACGGGTTATGTTGATTTAGGTTATGGAGAAGATGAAGAGGTTGAAGCCAAAGAAGTATAGGTATTTATGGTTGTGGGCCTTGGTGGGCATTGGAAAGCTCCTGTTGGATACTTTTTTACAGGCGGTTTATCTGCAGAAACACAAAAACAACTGGTCACTAATTGTCTTGAAAAACTGTTTGAGCTAGGGTTTAATGTATATGTTATAACTATGGATGGACATGCCACTAATATGGTTATGTGTAGATTGCTTGGAGCCAAGCTTGATTTTTCCACTTTTACTGATGAGATTAAGACTTCCATACCATCATTAGGTCAAAGCCACACTACCTATATATTTCCTGGCGCTTGTCATATGATCAAATTATTTCGAAACACTCTTCAAGCCTATGGTGGATTTACTAGTGATGATGTACAGGTCGTTTGGAAATTTATAAAAGAACTTAACGATGTTCAAAATGAATCTGGTCTGAAGCTAGCTAACAAACTACCAATGAAACATATACAATTTGCTCAACAGAAGATGAAGGTCAGTCTGGCTGTTCAAGTTATCTCCTCATCAGTAGCGAAGGCATTGAGAACAATGAAAGACATTGGTGATAAACAATTTGCAGAATGTGAAGCCACTGCAAAATTCCTTGAGGTAAGAAATCATCTATTTCAACACTGCTTTAAATCAAGATCAGCTTGTAGTAAAATTGTTAATATTATATATAACATGTATTATAGCAATATCTCTTATGTCATAGTAAAATTAAAATTAATGTTCATGTACTTTTATATAGCGTGTGGACCATCTCTTCGATATAATGAATAGCAGATCTCCTATAGCAAAGGGCTACAAAAGTCCAATAAACAAACATAATTTGCAAGGCAAAACTAAGTTTTTAGAGGAGACCAGTGCATATTTACTCAGTTTGAGGTTACTTAACAATGGCCCATTTCTTGTATGAACAAAGAGGTATTTATCGGGACAGTTACATGTTGATATAGCTACGTTCTGTGTTAAAGATGCACTATGTAAGATTTAGATAAATAGCTGGCCGTTCTTGCTATGATAGTTTAAAAATAGATAAAGAAAAATGATTATATTGAAAATTTCAGTCAAATTACTTTATTCAGAGCGAAGTTATTAATGTTTGAAGTTTTGGCAAGAAATATCCTAAATAGTCTCGATTGTCAAGTACCAATGCCACGATAATAAACAAAGTCTGGATTTTCAGTCCTTTACTCAGCAGTCTTGTGAGGGGCATCCATATTAGTGTTTAACGAGGATATGGCGAACATTGTGTAATCTAACTTGGTCTAGAGAGTTGATTATGGGTCTGTCATGTGAATAAATGTCTAAATAATAATTTATATAACATTTGAAGCCAGAAAAAAAGACCTGCAATAGTCAGATTTAGCTCTTACATAACACATCTTTAGTTTTTCCCTTATTATTTATATTGTTTTTGTTTTGTGTTAGAACGAGTGTTAGGGTTTCACACAGTTTCAGTGTGAAACACTATTATTTTTGTTGATATTATTATTATTCTTTTTCCACTTTGCTTATATCTCAGGAACTACTTGTCGGATTGTTCCCATCTGTTCAATTTTGTTGGGAAAGTGTGCATGACTGACAGATTATTCGATTTTCATTTGATGCCTAATGCATCTTTAAATCAGTTCAAATCAATTTAACATTTTCACTGTCACTGTAAATGAGGTCATTTTGGTAAATACTATATTTTTATCCGCTGTTATTCAGTAATTGTTTAATATTATGATATTTAACCGAGCATAGCTGTTTTATATTAAATTGTCAAAGGTTTTTCTCTGCCCTTTTTTAGTTTGCTATATTTTCAGTTTATGTCTCAAGTATTTTGAACATTGTAATATTATGCGTTTAAAAATAGGGTATTGGTACATTGTATATGACAAATCTCTTTCAGAAAAATAGTTCATTTGATTAGTAATGCAGAGCTAATAAGACTGATAGTTAATTTTCAAAATATATTTATAGGATTGTGTGTGAAGGGGTTTATAATTTTGGTATATATGACTTATCTCTTTCAGAAAAATAACTAATTTAATAAGTAATATTGAGCTTACAAAAATGATAAATGTTAATTTTTAAACTAATTTTAGAGGAATGTGTGTAAGGAGGTTTATAATCCTCATTGATTCTGTTCTTGGAGTTGCTAACCAAATTCTGGATGAACAACAGTACTTGTTAACATACAAGTGTTCTCAAGATCACTTGGAGCTGTTCTTTAATGCTGTACGCCGTACTGGTAAGATACTATTATCTATTCCATGAACATTACATAACTAATTCGGCTGTCAGTCTTTCGTTATTACAAAGATTTAATTATTTTTCACTAATTTTGTTGTTTTATTATTACAGCAATATTGAATAATAATCCTACAGCTAACGGGTTTACTGCATCATTTAAAAAAGATTATTTCCCATTGTGGAGCCCTAACAGTAAGTTAATATTACAGAATTAAACATGAGAGAGGGGGAGAGTTTACAGTCCACTGAACACAAACTAGTTCATTTCAGAACTAACATGTACCATGCAACTTTATTTCAATAATTTGCTAGCCCATAGCGGTCTTTAGCAGTAGAAGAAAACTGAAGAACCCGGAGAAAAACCCACATGGTTGGGATTGAAACCACGCCACTTGACTCAATAACAAACCTCATCTAAAGGGCTGTTAGAGCATTCAGCCCCCACCCTCAAACATGGAAGAAGCTTGTAAACACAATAGAGATCAGATTTCTTGAAGGCAAAAGGAATCGTTATCAAATTTGGTCAACATCCAAGTTTTCCATTCAGATAAGCTGCTATCAATGGCTATGTTTTGTTTTTGAGACAGCTTCTGTCTTAAAATAATAATATTTTCATCTTTCATTCAGATGTCTAAGCATGGGAACTGTTTGGTTCTTGAAGATGAAGAGACAAGACTGCTTCGATGTGCTTTAGATGGTTATGTGCCACCTGTCACAGAATACAATGAGGGCAATGATGGATTAAGTCTATCTGCTGGCAACTTGGCTGCCATAAATCATACATATGATACAATAAGGATGGAGCCCCTTGTAGAAAATGTTGTAGTTTATATAGCAGGTGAACAGTTTTAACTGTTTTTGGTTAACCTTTGGGATAGATTTTATACAATTAATATTTATTCATTTCACATGTAAATCACAATGACAAAAGGGTTTTAATGGTCACTATTATAATATTATGGGACTAAAAATCAAGACCCCTTCCTGTATGTGTTCAACACTAAAATAATGATGTTCCCGGCTTTATTTCAGGTTGGGTAATACGGAAATTGCTTCACCAGGTTAAATGTATAGATTGCAAAGCAATGTTGGCAACAGAAAAACCTTCCCAGGCTTTCATCTCATCATATTGTTTAATTTTCAATAAACAAAATGGTGGATGTATCCTTCCTTCAGATGGAACCATTCAAGTGTTACTATGTGCAGAAAGGTATATTAGAAGATTTTCGCACAATTGGATAATTGAGACTATGTTTTTTATCGTTCCGACTTTGGAAATGATGATCGAGGTTAGGCCCAAAACTCAATCCTTAAACTCTCGGTTCAGGGTGTAACAATTTGACTAAACTATCAGCAAATTCCCTTTACATTATGTAGTTTTTAACTATTATAGTGAGAACTGCCAGCTCTTTATCTAATCTCCCATAATGTATCTTTAATTATTATACCCTAAGGATGATCCCTATCAGGGTTGTCGGAAATTCTTCACAGTTGATAAATGGAATGAAATGAAATGGGGTTTTACGTCCTACTGTTTTGCTCCTAAACTGGGCTAATGAAGACGGGTATACGCCATACAGTGTGCTATGAGGGAAATTTTGCCCGGGCAGCGGCGCTACGGCCTACTCTTATATCAAATTCCAACTGCCAAGGGATCTTTTACGTACATGCCAATCTGTACACGAGATCTCGGTTTTTCGTCCCATCCTAATGACTAGACAGCTGCCCTTGCCAGGCCCTCCGTCCTGCATCACTGACAAGGGGAAACCACGGCGGAAGATCTGGATGAACTTTCTCGGCCTATGCAGGGATCGAACACCCGACCTCCAGGCTAGCGAGCCAGCGTCTTACCCACTTAGCCACGTGATCCCCTTCACAGTTGATTAATTTTACTGGTAATGGTTTGATGCCAAGCCTTAATTTTGTCAATAATTTAAATGGTAATGGTTTGATGCCAAGCCTTAATTTTGTCAATATTTCGGTCCCCCGCCTTTCAAAGAAAGCAGGGAACTATTATAATGGGTTCGTCCGCCTGTCTGTCTGTCCGTCCGTCACACTTTTTGGGACACAACAACTCTCCTTCTAATTGAGCTATAAAGTTCAAACTTGGTGTAGGTGTTTTATTAGGTCAATGCCTTGATGGAGTTCGAAGCAGAGATAAGCAATTTGATCCGTTGATGCTTTTGGACACAATAACTTTAGTTCTAATTAAGTCCGAGTGATGAAATTTCGGGATTTCAGCGGGGGACATCAGCCTCACTCCACTGTTGGCTTGTTAATGGTAATGGTTGGATGCACATGCCTTAATTTTGTCAATATTTTTTTTTAATTTCGAATCAGTACAATTTTAATGGTAATGGTTTGATGCCCATGCCTTGATTTTGTCAATATTTTTTTTATTTTGAATAACTAAAATTTTAATGGTAATGGTTGGATGCCCATGCCTTAATTTTTTCAATTTTTTTTTTATTTTAAATAATAAAAATTTTAATGATAATGGTTAGATGCCCATGCCTTAATTTTGTCAATTATCTTTATACGTCCACATTCATAATGTGGACATATTATGCCATCGCCCCTAGTGTTTGGAGGGGAGTTGGATAGTCGAATGGTTTAAAGCGTGCGCTTTAGATTTTAAGATCTGTCATTGTGTCAAGTGGTGAGTTTCGAGCGTGAGCTTGTACGTTACAGGGAGTGGGGTCACCTGTCCAACCTTGTGGGTTTTCTCTGGTTTCCTCCCGTTGCTAAAGACTCCTGCACACGAAAGCCAGTTATTGAAATAATATTGAGCAATATGTTAGTCCCGACCAATTTTTATGTGTATCACCTACAGGCCTCAATTCTGAATGAATCATCCTGGAACTTGGCATACTTATGCCTTATGATTCATTTCGAAGACAGGCGGGTACCTATTGATTTTTGTGCATGTCTGTAAACACTATACAGGCTGCTATTATTAACAGAATTTGTTCACATAGGCATGATCATTCATTTCAAATAAACAGTCATTGCAGCCATTTCATATTTCATTTTAAAAAAACTACCACTCAAAGCAGAATGTGGATGTAAATGCAGCCTTAGGGATGCTCTTGTTCTTATTTTGAATAAATACAATTTTAATGGTAACGGTTGGGTGCCCATGCCTTATTTTTGTCAATTATTTTTTTATTTTAAATAATAAAAATTTTAATGATAATGGTTAGATGCCCATGCCTAAATTTTGTCAATTATCTTTATACGTCCACATTCATAATGTGGACATATTATGCCATCGCCCCAAGTGTTTGGAGGGGAGTTGGATAGTCGAATGGTTTAAAGCGTGCGCTTTAGATTTTAAGATCTGTCATTGTGTCAAGTGGTGAGTTTCGAGCGTGAGCTTGTAGGTTACAGGGAGTGGGGGTTTTAATGGTAATGGTTGCCTTACTTTTGGTCAATAATTTTTTTTATTTTGAATAACTAAGATTTGAATGGTTGGATGCGCCCGTGGCTGAATTTTGTCAATTAATTTTTTTAATTTGAATAAATACAGATTTAATGGTAATTGTTTGATGCCCATGCCTTGATTTTGTCAATACTTTTTTTTTATTCTGAATACGCGTAACGTAAAATTTTAATGGTAATGGTTTGATGCCCATGCCTTGATTTTGTCCATTATTTTTTATATACAGATGTAATAAATTTAATGTCTGATAAATAACGTAAAATTTTAATGGTAATGGTTTGATGCCCATGACTTGATTTTGTCCATTATTTTTTATATATAGATGTAATAAATTTAATGACTGATAAATAAAAACTAGAATTGTTTTATTCAACATATAATTTTATATAATGGAATTTATTACGGTACAAATTATTTAAAATGTCAAATTGATTTATCGTTACCGTACGCATTGATTTTTCCAAGATTTTTTTTTTATTTTTGAAGTAGAGACGTAATAAATTTAATAACCGATAAATAAAAACTAGACTGGTTTTATTCAGTAGCCTATATGATGGAACTTATTACAAATTATTTGATGTAAAAATGATTTATCACCCAAACCAACCATCGTATCGCTGTTCTAACTTCTTTTAATCCCTTTTTTCGGTCCATATTCTTAAATTTCACATATCAAATGTTATCTGAATTCCAGAAAATTCTACCTTTTCTATAAAAACCTTGAAATGAACATGCGTAATCCCAAAATTGGAATTTTAAACGATACAATACGCCGATCAACTTTTTAATCGTGCAATGTAAACAAACAGCTGTCACGGGTAGTCATTTGTTCAATATGGCGGACGCTGGTCCCGTCTGATCATGCGTAGTCTATGACGTTGGGCCGATCTAGTCTTTATAGGATATCTATGGGTTTCGCAACTTTACATTTACACTTACATTTACATTTACATGTAGACGGTAAAACGTCATCGGTTTTTGTGACGTGTGACGTAAAGAGCACGTCATAAAAGTGTAGCAGACGGATAGCAGCCTCCATAAATGTAAGTTCACAACACTTAGCTAAACCTTGTTTAATTTCTATGATCAAGTCCATAATTGTTCTCTGAATCGTGGTTTTCACGAACTACATCCACAGAGAAGACCTTCTCCTAGACAAAAAGGAAGAGACCGAGACAAAACATGCGTGCTTTAGTAATTCAACGATCTATCCGTGATGTGCTCTAGAACTGCCCATGACTATGGTGCTATGTAGGCCTATCGATATCATGGACCTGGCATAGTCTGTGGCTACCTTGGGAAGGCTTGGTTATCCTTCACACTCTCTTTTGCAGTGGAAGGAAACCGAAGAACTTGGAGAAAACCCACTATGTTGGGGAGGGGACCCTAAATTTAGTATAGCCTTGCCTCGTATAACTACAAGCTTAGGAAACCACCTCGCCACTTGACCCGATGACAGACATTATTATACCCAGTCTTACTTAGTTAGGCCCTCGGAGCTACGGTGCCATTAACCACTAGCCATTATGATCTAGGCTAAAGCGCACGCGTTAGACCCTCCCCCCAACTATGTTCTATTTTTTTGGCGTTACTAATATGCCAAGTGGTAGCTCAAATGCCGTAGGCTAGCCAAATGAAATACCGTACTGCGCATGAAATCCATTTTATATCTATCGATATTATATTTTTCAGCAAAAGTAGATCATTTTCCCTCAACAACTGAACAATAATGCCGTCTTCTTCACCCGTTGAGCCCCAGAATGTTAGATTCTGGCCGGCGTTGGATATACTGTTACCTAAAGAAGTGATCTCGAAGAGACCGAACGACTCAAAGTCATGGGATTCGGTGGCAAAGAGCATCAATGAGGTTCTGCAGATCATACGGCGAAATTCTCAAGTTTCAGTTAGAGCTTGCAGAAGTCGGAAGCAAGATTTATTGCAGAAATTTAATAAGGATGAGTTATCATCACTCAGAGCAAAGCGTAAGTATACGGACCAATAAGCCACTGGCAATACCATATTTTATTTGTTACTGTATGCTATCATGAAAATAAAACAAAAACTAGAAGATGTGATGATATTATTTCGGAAGTAAGTCTAATGTAAGCGTTAGTTAAAATTTATTTACCTTTTCATAATTCAATAATTTATTCCTTGGCAGATCCGGTACGGATGAAGAATATGGGGAGAGGGAGCAATTATTAACAGAAATATGTAGGAAACTGGAGAGAAGGGAAAGGCTTCGGCATTAGATAGGAAGAAACAGGAACAGGGGGGAGACGTGAGACGACTGGCAATGCAGACTCTTACTGGGACCAAACGCACATCTATGGAAACTGAGGGTAAACTTATGTTTTTATTCGTCTGAAATCTATAGATTATTAATTTTTGAAAATGGTTTTCATTGTTGATAGAAATCAGATGAAGAAACAATTCTAATCATTAAATGTTACGGTTCCTTATCTTTATGTATTTATTTTGTAGAAGATGACACTGTAACACCCACCAAAAAGAGAAAATCGCACTTGTCAACACCAGCTGCAGACTACATCACGTTTCTTAGGGAGAAACACGCGGAGGAATCCAAGTTAAAATGGGAACAACTAGAGCTAGAAAAGAAGAAACTTGAATTGGAGAAAGTAGAGAGGGGGGCAAGACTACAAAGGGACCAGCAGATGATGGAATTATTAATAAGACTTAGTCAGAATCAAAAGTGATAAATTACAAAAATAAATTATATATATTTATTTATTACACTCTAGTTTTGTATATATATTATAAAGCTCTATATCACAATTTGGTGTTTGTTTAGTAAACCATCAGTTTCTTCCTAAATATTCTTCGATAGTAGGAGGCTGTAACTGGAAAAAAACTGCTTGTTTGACTCCCATAAAGACACGTGTGGCAGTTGGAAATCAGTGCACCAACCAAGTAGTATTTGGTGACGGGTTGCAGCATGAGCTTCAAATTCTTCTTAAAGTCTAGGAAGGCAAACAAATTTATTATCTTTCCAAATTCCCATTCCACGCATTCTCTTACACTTTACATTTGAGAGTTATTTTCAGCCGCCGTAAGATTAGAACCTTTAAAGGGACACAGTAAATTATTCCTTACTGGATACGCAGGATCTCCATATAATGCCAAAGACTGACCATTTGAAGTTTTAAAATCTTTGGTTTCTAACTGATCTAGTAATCTACTAAGTTTTAAAAGTCCACAATCATGTCGCCTTCCCTCAACAGGTCCAAACATGTTTACAACGAGTCTATTAGGAGTGACTACCGACTGAAACTTGAGGGCATGGACGCGCTTGTGGCCATTGTAGCAGACTTTTTGATTCTCTCGTGGTCTACAGACAGCTCTCACAGTTCCATCAATAAAGCCGAATAGATTTTCAAGTGGAGCAACTATCTCATGTATGGCAACCGCATACTCTCGTAGCTTTTCTTCCCCTAACCATGGCTGATCTAAATAACTTAGTAATTGACCAAATGCATTATAAATGAAGTCGAGAGTTGTATTTATGATCAAAGAGAGTGTTGATTTCGGCCTTCCAAATAATTTCTCAAGGTCCACAAGCCTATTAGGATAGACCAAACGCCGTAGCAAAATGCATAAAGCATCAACTCCATTTACCCGTGCCCGGTTTTCACAAAACATCTCATCCGGGATATGAAGACTTGCGGCAAGACGGTGAATTCCATTCATATCAAATCTGAAATGACACCTAATCTGTTCGTCTGAGAGGTTATTTAGGTTAAATCTTGGTCAGTCCGGATCGTAAGTTGAATTGGATACATGGCTGCCAATACCAAGTAGGATGGCATAGTTTGAAGTCTCTTCATCATCATTTTCCAAGGTTAACCTTAAAATTTCGTCAGCGTCCATGTTCTCGTGCCTATCGTCTGCTATTCTCAGTGTCGCCACCTACTAAGTGTAACTGTAAGTGTGAATTTAGCGAAACGTCATAATGTGCACATTCTAACAATTAATAAATAGTCGGAATTCAGACATAATAATTATATATGTATTATTGGTTATAATTCTAACGTTAATCTAACGTAAATTTTACATCAGGTTTCTAACCGTTAGTTTATGGTTAGTTTTCTGACCTAAATCTAATGTTAATAAAACGTTAGTTGTCTAACGTTAATGTAATGTTAGTTTTATGTCATACTTTTAAGCGTTAATTTAACGTTAGTTTTCTAACATAAATCTAACGTTAGTTTTCTAACATAAATCTAACGTTAGTTTTCTAACATAAACCTGATATTTGTTGTATAACGTAAAACAAAGTCAGTTTAATGTCATGATACTAACAATTGAATTACTGTAATTTTTTATCCTTCGTTTTCTTACGTAAACAAATGTCAGTTTAATATCATGAGCACCATTTGTAATGAAGCGACTCGATGAACAAGGCTAACCATATCCCACAGGAGAATACTGGTGTGGACTAGAATAAGCAGACGCCAAAAACTGTCATTTAATTTGGGCTTTTTGCATATTTCGTCGAACATAATTGATCAAAATATATACAGTAAAACCAGATAAGAGTGAACTTTATTCAGTTTATATACATTCATATTACATTATTATATGCCTTGCTACCCATCTGTGTCCATTTTCTGGGGCCCAAGAATAGAAATGAAATGGAGTTTAACGTCCTACTGATCTGCTCCGAACTGGGCTAATGAAGATGGGCAAACGCCATGCAGTGTGCTATGAGGAACATTTTGCCCAGACAGCAGCACTACGGCCTACTCTTATATCGAATTCCAATTGTCAAAGGATCTTTAACGTGCATACTAATGTGTCCACAGGATCTCAGTTTTTCGTCCCACAAGAGCGACTAGACAACTGTCCTTATCAGGCTCTCCGTCCTGCATCACTTTCTCGGCCAATGCAGGAATCGAACGACACACAAAGAGAAAAGGGAATGGATGAATGACCTACTCTCATTTCGAATTCCAGCTGTCAAGATTTCTTTAATATGCACATCCAACATGAGCACAAGATCTTGATTTTTTGTCCTATTTGAAGGACTAGACACTGTTCTTGCCAGGTCCTCTGTCCTACACCACTAACAAGGGGGGAATTCTTGAACAACACCGGGATCGAACCCCTCGTTAGTTAGCCAGTGTGTTAACTTGAAAGTTAACCATTGGCCATCCAACAATCGCCAGTGTGCTACAAGGGACTTTCATCTGGATAGCTGTGCTAAGGCCAACTCTTATATTGAGTTCCAACTGCCAGGGGATCTTTAACGTGCATGCCAATGTGCACATGGGACCTCAGTTTTTTGTCCCATCCAAAAGACTAGAAACCTGTGCAGTACACAAACAGATTCTCCTTATTATTCCAGTCTGTGACTACAGTAACTTGAAAGTGGACCAATAAATAGCCATTTTTATTTGGTTTTGCAACCGAAATCCAACTCGGAAGGGAAAACAAATAATGATAATGCATAAAAAAAAGTGTGTCATACATAAAGCAAAGTGACTAACCAAGAGTAGGTCAATCTAACCGCTGTTTAGTACTGGAACACTGATTTTAAATGTCTGAAGCCATTTGGTAGCCGACGAAGAAAAATAAAAAAAATTGTCTAATGTGCTCAACCGGTCGGTAGCTATTTCTTGTGGCACCTCCCCTGGGGGTCGGTCTATGCACCAAAATAGATAGTTGCTATCCTTATGGTATAAATATACCAAATTCCAAGATGATCCATTCAGAATTGCGGCCTATAAATTAGAAGCACAAAAATTTTGCTTGGCTTTTCCACTGGGGATTGGGCATAGAGCCATATAAATAGGTACAACCCTTTGGTGGAACTAGAACTGTTAACAACTGTGGACTATTTACAGACAAAATATTAACAAAGTGGGTGTGGCACCGTCCAAGGGGGTCGGATCATGCAACAAAATCAATAGTTGCCATGCTTAAGGTATACGTATACCAAGTTCCAAGACAATCAATTCAGAATTTTAGCATCGAGGCACTAAACACAAAAATTGGGCGTGGCTCTGCCCCTGGGATGGGGACATGCAGTAAAATTATTAGTTGCCGTCCTCAGGCTATACAGAATACATATGTTGCATTCCAAGATGATCAGGCTATACAGAATACATAATATGTTGCATTCCAAGATGATCAAATCACAATTGCGACCTGCATACAATATACACAAAATTGAGCATGGCTCTTCCCCTAGGGATTGAGACATGCACCGGAATCAATAGTTGTCATCCTTGGGCTATAAGGAATATATTCCATGTTCCAAGACAATCCATTAAGAACTGTGGCCTGTAGGCACAGACACACATAGAAGAAATGGGTGTGGCCCTGAGGGTTGGGCATTCACAAAAACAATAGTTGCCATGCTTAAGGTATACGTATATCAAGTTCCAAGACAATCAATTCAGAATTTTGGCATCGAGGCACTAAACACAAAAATTGGGCGTGGCTCTGCCCCTGGGATGGGGACATGCAGTAAAATCATTAGTTGCCGTCCTCAGGTTATACAGAATACATATGTTGCATTCCAAGATGATCAGGCTATACAGAATACATAATATGTTGCATTCCAAGATGATCAAATCACAATTGCGACCTGCATACAATATACACAAAATTGAGCATGGCTCTTCCCCTAGGGATTGAGACATGCACCGAAATCAATAGTTGTCATCCTTGGGCTATAAGGAATATATTCCATGTTCCAAGACAATCCATTAAGAATTGTGGCCTGTAGGCACAGACACACAAAGAAGAAATGTTTGTGGCCCTGAGGTTTGGGCATTCACAAAAACAATAGTTGCCATGCTTAAGGTATACGTATACCAGTTCCAAGACAATCAATTCAGAATTTTGGCATCGAGGAACTAAACACAAAAATTGGGCGTGGCTCTGCCCCTGGGGTGGGGACATGCAGTAAAATCATTAGTTGCCGTCCTTAGGCTATACAGAATACACATGTTCCATTCCAAGATGATCAGGCTATACAGAATACATAATATGTTGCATTCCAAGATGATCAAATCACAATTGCGACCTGCATACAATATACACAAAATTGAGCATGGCTCTTCCCCTAGGGATTGAGACATGCACCGAAATCAATAGTTGTCATCCTTGGGCTATAAGGAATATATTCCATGTTCCAAGACAATCCATTAAGAATTGTGGCCTGTAGGCACAAACACACAAAGAAGAAATGTTTGAGGCCCTGAGGGTTGGGCATTCACAAAAACAATAGAGATAATCGTTAGGGTATAAAGACTAGGTACACAAAGTTTCAAGAGGATCTGTTAAAAATTGCGACCTGTAGTTGACACAGACACACAAATAAATTGAGCATGGCTGTCCCTGGGGGGTCGGAAATGCACGAAAAATATACAGGTCATCCTTTGGGTATAAGGAATAAAAATGAAAAATGTACAAGGCGATCCATAAAAGGAGGCACGTCTTTAACTCAATAGCATCGACAGTCTTTGACATTGCAAACACAACTTATTGGTCAATTTAAGGGGGTCACGGTGGCTAAGTGGGTAAGACGCTGGCTCGCTAACCTGAAGGTCGGGTGTTCGATCCCTGCATTGGCCGAGAAAGTTCATCCAGATTTTCCGGCTTGGTTCCGCCTTGTCAGTGATGCAGGGTGGA